TTATGTTGTTAAAGTATTGTTGTGAGTTACTTTTTGCATTTTTATTATGTTGTTAAAGTATTATTGTGAGCTACTGTTTACATTTTTATTATGTTGTTAAAGTATTGTTGTGTATCATTTCTCGCATTTTTATTATGTTGTTAAAGTATTGTTGTGAGTTACTTTTTGCATTTTTATTATGTTGTTAAAGTATTATTGTGAGTTACTGTTTACATTTGTATTATGTTGTTAAAGTATTGTTGTGTATCATTTCTCGCATTTTTATTATGTTGTTAAAGTATTGTTGTGAGTTACTTTTTGCATTTTTATTATGTTGTTAAAGTATTATTGCGAGTTACTTTTTGCATTTTTATTATGTTGTTAAAGTATTGTTGTGAGTTACTGTTCACATTTTTATTATGTAAAGTATTGGGGTGAGTTACTTTTTCCATTTTTATTATGTTGTTAAAGTATTATTGCGAGTTACTTCTTGCATTTTTATTATGTTGTTAAAGTATTGTTGTGAGTTACTGTTTACATTTTTATTATGTTGTTAAAGTATTGTTGTGAGTTACTGTTTACATTTTTATTATGTTGTTAAAGTATTGTTGTGAGTTACTGTTTACATTTTTATTATGTTGTTAAAGTATTGGGGTGAGTTACTTTTTGCATTTTTATTATGTTGTTAAAGTATTGTTGCGAGTTACTTTTTGCATTTTTATTATGTTGTTAAAGTATTGTTGTGAGTTACTGTTTACATTTTTATTATGTTGTTAAAGTATTGGGGTGAGTTATTCTTTGCATTTTTATTATGTTCTTAAAGCGTTATTGCTACAAAATTAGTTCGAAGATTTCATTTGTTTGATAGCAATAACTCTGCTTATGGTAAGATTATTTAAAATGACCTGTTTATGAGGTGTGCTAGTTGATGCTTGTGTACCAGTAGGTTGCACAAGTGACATATTTAAAAAAGTAAGCGATCTAAATGATATACTACCAGTGAAAGTTGATTTATCAGGTCTATCAGCATCCACAGTGGTGTAATAAACAGATGAGTGAGTTTTAAAATATTAAATGACATATTAACACATTAGGGATAATCCTTCAGAGTAGTTAAGTGACATACTAATCTATAAAGCTTATAAAGTGACGTAATAAAGTATAATAGGTGATCTATAGGGCTTATAAAGTGGCGTACTAATCATAATATGTGATCTATAAGGCTTATAAAGTGACGTACTAATCATAATAGTTGATCTATAAGGCTTATAAAGTGACGTACTAATAATAATAGGTGATCTATAAGGCTTATAAAGTGACGTACTAATCATAATAGGTGATCTATAAAGCATATAGAGTGACGTACTAATAATAATAGGTGATCTATAAGGCTTATAAAGTGACGTACTAATCATAATAGGTGATCTATAAAGCATATAGAGTGACGTACTAATAATAATAGGTGATCTATAAGGCTTATAAAGTGACGTAATAAATTATAATAGGTGATCTATAAGGCTTATAAAGTGGCGTACTAATAATAATAGGTGATCTATAAAGCATATAGAGTGACGTACTAATAATAATAGGTGATCTATAAGGCTTATAAAGTGACGTACTAATCATAATAGGTGATCTATAAAGCATATAGAGTGACGTACTAATAATAATAGGTGATCTATAAAGCATATAGAGTGACGTACTAATAATAATAGGTGATCTATAGGGCTTATAAAGTGACGTACTAATCATAATAGGTGATCTTTAGGGCTTATAAAGTGACGTAATAAATTATAATAGGTGATCTGTAAAGCATATAGAGTGACGTACTAATCATAATAGGTGATCTATATGGCTTATAAAGTGACGTACTAATAATAATAGGTGATCTATAAAGCATATAGAATGACGTACTAATAATAATAGGTGATCTATAAGGCTTATAAAGTGACGTACTAATCATAATAGGTGATCTATAAAGCATATAAAGTGACGTACTAATCATAATAGGTGATCTATAAAGCATATAGAGTGACGTACTAATAATAATAGGTGATCTATAAGGCTTATAAAGTGACGTAATAAATTATAATAGGTGATCTATAAGGCTTATAAAGT